TTAAAAACCTATGTTAAAAATTGTAGTATTTATTAATAAACACTCTCGCGAAACGAAAAATGTATTATAGCATTCTCCCGTTACATTTTCATCCGTCGAGGAATTTGATATTATGTTATGTCGATTCCGCGCAGGTACAACGTGACTTGATACAGTAATAATTTAAACTGAGAAAACCATCTAAAAGTGTATTCGAGATACACTTACTGTAAAATCAAGCGTATACATTCCGCGAACTACAAATGTAATTAAACACTTGACACGTTACTGCATTTCATCATTTAAATCAGTTGATAATCACGCACTCTGTCAGTTCGCGTATGATTCCGCGCCCTCAATGCGAAAGCGATAGCCAAATGTCCAAATAGATTATCGAAGAATCGGAATCGCGATGCATTTAAGTTTAATTATCTTTTAAGAAATAATCGCCCTTAGGTAAATCGTTACCGGAATGTTAATCTAATATTTCAATTCTCTCATCGCTTTAGTCTTTATGGATAACCGCGAGACACTCGCTTTGCAACGAACGATCAACGCTTCGGCAAGTTAGTGAGTGTCGCAATCAATTGCGTAGATGGATGATCCGATGGTTAATAGAGAACGATTCAGCGTTTTGATATCGGTGAAATTTTTGTAATACTTATCGCGACACATTTCGTGGTATAGTAATATGTAACACGGAGCGATTCGTTCTTGTGTACTACCTGCCGCTTCGAATGTCGGGACGAAAATAATAGCGCGACGACCTTCTCCGAACGCGGCGCGGGGTACGACGTGATGACGTACACGAAAACAACTATTGTTCCAACAGTCTCGCCGACAATAACATGATCATAAAATGTAAGAACGTTATTTTACACACAGTGTCTCGGAAATAACGTACGCCGAATATTCTATTCTTCACATTTCGACGACGAGACTATTTTCGCATACTTTGTATCTGTACTTTTTAGACTCGACAGTGTTATCTAAGATGATAATTCTGTTTGATTGAGAACGTTTTATAATAGAAATATTATAACTTAGATTATAAGTTGATGATTATGCGAGTCGATGCATGTATAAATGCGTAATAATAAATTATACATTTTCTACGGAAATTATTTTGAATTTTCTAAAATAAAATATAGAACAATTGACCGAGCACTCGTTAGAAGGAATTATTATCTAATGTGTAATTAAAGAATTAAATTTATACTTATTTTGTTAAAGATGTATAATGTAAATTAATTACGATCGCTCTTAATCGTCGGAAAAGTTTGCGAGGCATTTTTGTACGACACAGACGAAGTCAAATTTATTATGCATTTTATTCGAAGTATATAAGATAATATTAAACGATCAATATTAAACTGATCAATATGGGAATTCTGTAACTTGCTATCGATGTTTTTCGGTATCGTTAACTCGCGACAGCGAATGGCAAAGACGATCTTCGAAAAAGACGTAGCTTTTCACGGGTTGCTGTTGTCACTTTAAACTTTCGATACACAAAACGATGATAAACAACGTTTAACAAGCAAAATGTTTTAAATCTCAAGAAGAACACAATAACTAATAGACAAATTACACGCACATTTATTGTTACAATATCACGGTTGCGTAGCAAGTCGCGCGCAGCGCGTATAATATCCTACGAAAGACGCGAAATTTTATTTTAAACGATTTGATGTAACACAATTTTCACATGCTTTCACTCATTATCAGTGATTCGCGTGTCACTTCGAACTTTCATGTGAACGACAATAAATAAACAGCATTTAAGAAGCAAAATTCAAAGTATATTATGCGAATAATGTTAGCGTAGGTATACTGTTTGACATAATAAACTTAATTCCGAAGCATCTTTTTAAGAGATCTAGATTAATATTAATAGCCTAGTTTGTAATTGAACATAGTATATTTTTAAGAATTTGTATACATGCAAGGAAGTAATTGTGTGCGCAACGTTAATTTAAAATAAAAGATAATTTATCACTCACTGTTACGATTTGCAACAGCAGAATTGTACATACATCATTAACTATATATGTTAAACTGTCAAAATACAAATATGTATATGAATATTATAGACTAATTACGTAAAATCGAAATTATTGTATTAAATATACTTTATATATTTTAAAATAGATATTCATTAAAATAATGAAATAGAATACTGAAGAGTCTTTCTCTTAAATATAATCTCAGAAAATTATATACGTATGATTTTGTCTCTAACACTTAATTCGAATCCTCGTTCGAATCATTTGAATAAATAAAATAAAAACACAGAACAGATGCATTATTTCGCACAAGTAGCAGATAACATAAAAATGTAAGACACTTACCTTACGTTTTCTCTGCTGTTGTCCGATGCCTCCTGGCCCGCCTCCTCCTCTCAGATTTCCTTGTTGCACTCACACAACACTCACTCGCGAAAATCATCGATCGCGCGAAATTTCCGGCACTCCCGCCGAAGTCGTACAAATTTCTCTCTTTTCCCGAAAATGGAACAGATTACACGAAATCGATAGATAATTAAAAGCGCGGTGCGTAAACGAGATGTAACCGCGACAAAGTACCACGGTTTACATTCAGATTTTAGATAAATTAGTCTCGTGAAATATCCATGTGTACGTTGATAAAGAACCGTCGCTACAACATACAATTAGTTTCTCATTACAAGTTGTAGAAACTTAATAATTAATCGAGGAACGTTACTTGTTACTAATAAAGGTGTGCAAATCAATAGCGTTTTATCCCTGCATTCATCGCGATCGAGTCTTGGAAACCGATAACGCAAAAGTAATACCACGCACGGAACGACTCTCGCTGCTGCCTGCCGGCTCGACGTTCGGCGAGCGAGTGATAGCGCGGCGCGCGGCGACGGGCGACCTTCGGGCACACGATGGCACACAAACATCGTACGTCACCGCGCCGAGAAAAAAAACAACTACGAACGTTGAGAATTCGTTGTCCCGTCTACGAAATTGAAAATTATGTACTTAATATTTTACATTACTTTGTTCCGTGACTGTTACTACGTTTTGCGTAACATTCTGCGGACTACTGGCATTGATTAAATTAACGACTAATTCTGTTCACCCGAGAAAATGTTTCGAAACAAAAATCGTTGTTACTTAAATTCTAATTATTAATTTTACCTCAATAGTTGGTGTATACAAATGTATATTTGTAAATTGCAAATCTTCATTTACCATGAATCTAAAAGAGAAGTAAAGCACACCGCGCTTCGAGAAAACCAATCGGCATCGCCGAAAAGAGGCCTCAACTCTTCGATATTAATGACATACGCGCTGTTAACATTTCTTTTTTAGAAAGGGATTTGTATTATTATGTGTATATACAGGGTGAGTCTTTCAATATCCGACAAAATTTTTGAGAGGGTAGAACGGATCGAGATGAACGGAAAAGTCCTGTACCATTTTGCAATTTTCGTAATAGTTAACGAGTAATTAATTATGAAAAATCGTTGTCTTAGGCCGGCCTACCGCCCAATTCGAGCGC